ACGTAGGGGAGATGGGACGTTAGAAAAATTAAATAAATAAATAAATAAATAAATAAATAAATAGGATTGATAGAATTGAGGAAATCATTAGGGATTCTAATCCATCCACTGTTGAATTCAAGAAATCCAAGGCTAAAACATCAGCCGACTTGTCCCTGAAAATCCCTAGCAAAGGCTCCCCTACTCATTCAGTAATTATTTCTACTGCCATATTGCTGCGCTTTCAAGTCAATTTTCCTAAAATTCCACTGTATTAGGCTCTTCTTTGTCTTAAGTCCACTGCATATCATATCCTTCAAGCAGCAGATAACAGTCCTTTCTTTTCTGTCAGTACTTTGCTTATTGGAAGAGGTTCTGTTATTTTCCGTCTCCTCAATAGAAATGAATCTGTGCTTTTGAAGTTCACTGACTTTAAGCCATTTTGAAAACTTGAGGATACTTAATGTAACTCATTCACATGATTGTGTCTATCAAGCCACTAAATATACAGCGGATGGCAAGAGACACCCTGATAGTCTATGTGACAACACATTTAGATTTACTGCTATCAGTGTTTGCTCCTTTTAGTGAGCACATGCTGCTTTTTGGCAGGATGGATGCTCGGTGTCTGATTTGGAATGGTTTGTGGAAGATACTGCAAACTTGGCCAAACGCTATTTATAGGGATCCCTCTCTTTATTACTCATGTATCCTCTTCTAACCTGATAAGAAAGGGAGAGCTAGTCAAATCAGTGGATTCCATTTCATCACCAATCCCTTCAAGCTCTTTTCTTCTAAACCAGTGGCCCTTAAACTGGGGGCAACTATCCCCAAGGGGGTAATTTGGGCATACCCTAGGGAAAATGGAACAATCTGTAATTGCTTGTTTGTGAGTCAAAGATCCAGTTTGGGACTGCTGCTGCCAAGGAGCTCGTGTAAAGCAACAGGGTCTCTTTGTGTGTATGTGGGGGGGTGAGTTAATGACCCTATTCAAGACTGTGAAAACGGGTAATTGGGTCAAACCGTTTAAGAACTACTACTGTAAGCTAATTCTAAAATAATAATTCAAATAATTAAGAATGAAAGCAGAATTCCATTCTGGGTGATATTACAGTTTTCTCCTGAACTTTGCTAAGTAGTAGTAGTAGTAGTAATAATAATAATAATGCCAGTAATGAAAAATTGGTGGGAACA